TCACATATTAATAATTAATTTTATTGTATACTTCAGAAAAATGAAAAAAAAGTTTGGAACAAGCTGGAATCGAACGAATGACGTCAAGTGATCTAGTCGCGCTCTTTACTCGCTGAGCCACGTTTACTACTTGAATTTCGATCCTACTGAAGCGGTACTCCAGGAGCACGGAAAACTTTCAACTACGATTTCTTATAAACTAGTGCTCATTGGCAACAATTATATGAGGCTTTATTAGAAGGAAGGGATTACTATAACATATATAAAAATTAGCCAAATTTAGGACGGCGCTTATTGACACTCCCCTTGTTAGTCAATGTCGACAATTGCCCGGTGCTATCCATGATTTTCAGTATTTCGGGTCGTATAAATTTCATTTTATATTACCCGTGATGAATTGGCCCTGATGGGAATATTATTCCTGTTGAAAATTTTATTGAAATTCTCTCTCGATTTAGCCCATTTCATTATCATTCCATTAATATACGCAGTTTTCAGTTAAATTCAGTAAATTTCAACAATATACTTTAACTTTCCTTATATGCGAATATTGATATACTATGAATTTGATGAACAGCGAGATGAAAATTACTGAAAAATTACTGAAATATATAAAAAATATTTCAAAATAAATTATATTCATCATCAAATTATTTCATCATGAAATTCAATGTAATGTTATAAAATGTAATGAAAATTAAAATATAATTCTAAAAAGTAATAAAAAAATTTTGTAATATATATCATAAAATTTATTTAATTAAACTGAAAACTGCGAATATTAATGAAATGAGGTCAATTGAGAGAATATTTCAGCAAATTGTTCCTATCAAGGGACATAGAAAATTTTTTCTCTTAAAACTAAACAAAAACATATTTTATCAAAAGCGCCCTTTTTATCATCTATAATAATCACATCCGTCTCCCATTCTTATGAACTTGTCTCATCTGTTGTAGATGGTAAGTAATTGTTTCATGAATTATTCCCAAATATGCAATACACTTTTTGAATTAAATTTATGTGAAATCTTAGTCGAGTTGTAACTACAATTCCTTATTCTCAAATTTGTGCAATTGATCAGAACATAGCTGATCACTTAGATCAATGCTCGGAATTACTTGCACTTTCAAAATGATTTTTGAAGGCTACAATTACTTTCTTTCCCTCGTCTTTCCATTAACCCTTGATTAACGATTGCTGCGCTCAGCTTTAGGACTGTCAACTTCATAACCTATGAAAAGCTCTCCAATTCCTGAAAAAGTTCTTATTGAAATTAATTTTATTTGTGTTATTTCCATATATTACCAATACATTTATATTATTGTTATTATGACGATAGAATAGTGATTTTTGTGTATGTTAAGGGTGTATTTGTAGATAGGTTCAGCTAACACCAGTAAAAGAGATGAAGTTGGCAACATGTAAAATTATTGGTGCTGTGTTTCGTATCTTCTATCAAGTAAATTAGCTGTTAGTGTCAAAGACTGGATACTTATTATTGCCTTAAACAATAAGTAATTTTTATAATAACTGAATAAATAAAGTTAAAAAGATTTTTTTTTTAATACGAGCATATGAATTATTGTTTTTTTAATATTCAAGCATATCAAAAAATAGTTTAAAGGATATCTTAAACTTAAAATTACTGATTTAATACGGCTTACTTTATGCCAAAATATTAGTATATAATTCGACTTCATTTTACTCAAAATCACGTCTATTTTTTTATTCGCGCTTTATATTAGATCATCCAAAAAATCCTGAGAATTTTTGAAGCACTGAAACAAAAATTTATTGGCACTGTTCCATCGACAATTAATCTATGATGTATTGTCCATTTTGACCTATCACTTTTTGCCATCTCTCGGACAATGAGAAAATTTCGCGCTCGTAGAATGTCTTGAGCTTTCTCTCAAAGAATGCAGTCAGGTGGCTTTTGATCTTTTCCAACGAATAGAACTTTTTACCCCTCAAGGAGTATTGCCCGGAATAAGTGATAGAAGGGGCAATGTTTGGTGCATTTGGAAGATGGGGAATATGGAGAGTGGGGCAAGATGTCCGATATTCAATGAGTCTTCAGAGAACCGCCAATGAAACGCGTGATCTCGCGTTATCATGCTGAAAGACGACGCCCTTCCTATTCATCAATTTTGGTTGCTTCGTGGCAAGAGTTACCTTCAGGTTAGCTAGTTAGACGCAGTATTTGTTAGAATCGACTGTGTGGATTCTCTGGAAGGAATTCAAAGTGGACAATATTCTTGCCACTCCACCAGATGCAAAGCATGACTTTCTTTGGGTGCAGCTCCTCTCCTCTCTCCTTTCGAGGAGGTTCAGCCGACTTTCCCCCGATGATCGTTTTTTTGACACATTACAGTAGAGTTTTTTCATCACTAGTAATCAATTACTTCAAAAAAATCCTTGGAACTTTTTCTTAGAGCACGTCGCACGCGTCAACACGAGTGAAGAGGTTGCGCTCAGTCAATGTGTAAGGAAGCCAGACATCAAGGTGACTCACAGCCCTCTCAAATGGCCTCAAATGGTCATGAAGCATACTCTTGGGGTTGAAGTTCTGTGAGAGTTCCAGCACATTACCGCAAGGGTTTTCATCGATTGCTAGCTTCAGGCGATCCTCAAGTAGCGTGAAAGGTCTTCCAAACCGTAGGCCATCTTAGAGCTCAAAATCACCATTACGAAATCGCACGAACGGCTGTTTGATTTGACACAGCATCCTCCCCGTCGTAAATGTCGCAAATTTCACGGGTAGTCTCTCCATCACGGTGCTTCCCTTCCGAAAGCAAAAAAGCATAACATTGCACAAATGAAGCTTCTGGCTGTCCATCTTCGTGATCGCGCCATCCAACATCACTTGCTCTGTTTGTCAACACCAGACCGGCAATTGATAAAGCAAAGCGCCCTCTTTGAAATGAACTTTCATTCATCAGTTTCGGTGAATGTACTGCCGAGCAAACTGACCCCAAGCGCGACGAATGGCAAGGATTTTCTGAATTTTTTGGATGATCTAATATGTGTTATCTCTATTATTTCAACAGCAAGTTTCAACCGTCTCTCTTTTATTCGTTCAATTTGATTACGATATTGAATGCAATAATCATCTTCTTCAGCAGCTGAGTAGCGTGTTGATAACTGATTTACTGGTAGAAGATATGAAACGCAACAACAGTAATTGTCACTGCTGCCAACTTCATCTCTTTTTACTGATGCTAGTTAAATTTGTTCCGAAACATATTTTTCTCAGATAACGCAATATCTAAAATCGGGACATAAGACGTCTTAATGATATCTTTAAGATATTTTATGTTCCAACGCTTCTTAAAAACGCCTTTGAAACGCCTCGACATTTTAGATATTTTTTGTTTAGGTTAGATGATGTATATAGGGAACAAAATTTCCCTAACAAATCCTTTGACACTACTTCTTTATCCTTTTTTTCTATATTTTATTCATAACACGTTACGCTCTCTCTAGCATTTGTACCAATCTTACAAATCATATCCACGGCTCTAGCAATATGTTTTTTTCGTAATTGAAAGGAGTATAGTGCCTAACATGCTCTTCGTCGATGTTCATTATGTTTCCGCTAGTTTTTAAGATTACGCTGCACGTTTCGTTACATTATATTATTATTCGTTATATTATATATTATTCGTTAGGTAAATATGCCGAATAGGGGACCTATCCCCTAATGATCTTGACAGTGATATATTTTGTGGAGGTTGTGAAGATCCACTCTTGAGTAACCTTCAGAAGGTTTCAGCCGTCGCTTATTGTTTATTAAAAAGTTATTAACAAAAAGTTTCATATATAAAATGTAATTTTCTGATACTGTGTATATCCAATACGTAAATACCCAGTAAGCAAGGAACATTAAATTAACGTTTCGAAATATATAGACGAAATATATAGACTTTAAGTATTTTTTAGGTACCTTTTTTTTTAACAATATTATACATACAAGATGTAAAAAAAGGTCAGGGCATTAGAATATTTTGAAAAAATATGAGTTTTACCAAAAAATGTCTTATACAAAAGTTATATGGTTTCGAGGGAACCATAAAGTGGTGTCATCGATTTGACCTTGAATAGTCGTTTGAAAGTCACGTGAAGGTCACCTTCAATTTCTTAAATAAAACACTATTTTTCATTGCATATTTTTGTAACTTATCTCAAAAGCTTTCCAAAATAGTATAATTAACCCTTATCGGACGCTAGCTTTTTATGCGTGATTCTCACTAGGTTGTAGCTGGTTTCGGTAAATATGCGAACTTGTCACCTCCTACGTGACATACGACCGCAGCGACGAAGTATTGTTGTCACGTGAGAGGTGACTTACGACCGATAAGGGTTAAGTTCCATTTAGCCAAAAACTATTCGGGATATACGTCGCTAAAGTTTACTGCCAGACTTTAGCGTTATCTTAGCTGCGCCACGTGTGAAGGTCGCGCGGTCGAATTCTTCAGAGTTATTTTATTAACTTTGTATTTTATAAATATAAATAACAGCACACTAAAATCGCATTAAAATAGTAAATAAGTAAGTTCAGAATGGTTGTATGAAATGAGTGAAACTAAAAATATCGAATTAACTTACACACTTAATAGATCGATTTAGCAATATATTAGTTTTCTATTTTTGTCTTTCTTCCTAAACAAAGATCGAAACATATGGACAAATGACATTGAAACTTTAAAAGAATTGTATATTATTGCACTTAATATATGTATGATTATATTAATTAATTTATTGAAATATTTAACTACGAGATCAGTTTTTAGCTCTTATTTGCCTATAGCTTTTTACTTTTAATTTCTCTTCATCTTGATTAAATATCAAAGCTTTTATTTGTCATAATTTTTTTTAAATTTTTGATTAAAAATTATTGTGGATTCTCAATAAATTACGAAAAATTAAATATGCAATTTCTTAAATTCCAAAATACTTCTTATATGACCATTTATATGTTTATCTTGTCCCTTTGCAGGAAAAAGATAAGCCGAACAGTACAACAATGAACGGTTCACCAGGTAGTGCCGGGATAGGTGATCAAATGAGTGTTAAAATCGAGCCAGCGGAAGCTGAATCATTATCTAGGTCTGGAAGTAGTGGCATTCTCACTCCCGTTAGTCCTTATGCTTGTGTGAAACCGCCGACGCCTACGCCTATCAGTCCAGAACAGGACGAATTGATAAACAGGCTGGTATCTTTCCAATGCGAGTTCGAGCAACCAAGTGAGGACGACTTAAAAAGGATCACAGTACGTACCGTATTTTGTATTCAATTTTATTATATATTATTATTAGTATTATTGATCTATAAATATGTATTCCTTAAACAGAAAGTACCATGACATGAATGAAAAAAAGAGGGAACACTTTTAGGAGTATTTTTAAGGAAAAATATAGTTTATTTTTTAATGGTGACTTCACATGTATTGATATATATTTTAAAGACTCATATTTTTATTGTGTTGGATTCAAATCCAAGAAGAATGTTAAACTTTTCATCCAATGATGAGTGATATGAAATAGGATACAAAGAAACTAATATTTTTAACTTCAGAAATTAGTATTTTTAACTTAAGGTAATAAAACTTAGAAAACAACTGGAATTGTTGCTAGTAAGTTGAGAAAGTGAATGTACAGATGAGACTTCGTAAAGGTTTTAAAAACAGTTTTTTTTTAACAAGTGACAAATTTTTAAAGAAAATATTAAGGATTTTCGATAAAAATCACGTGTTCTTGTCACAATGGAAAGTAATACTGGCGTCTCTAGTACAAAGCATAGTCTCCCCTATCCTTCAACGAATATCACAGTAGTAGAGCCTCTTAATAATTTCCTTTTGAAGCAGTCTAGCCGACGCTTTTGTGCGCCAGACTGTACACACATGTGATTAGTTAGTGCTGCGTTACCACATCATTTGAATATACAATGAATTAGATAGTGATAGTTGTAAGCCTTAAAGCGTAAATTTGGCAACAACGTGCAGCACGTCGACTATTTGTTTTTACTATCGCTGTGAAGTCCGCGCTTATATTTGTCAAAACTCAAGCATCAAGTTTAATTTTCTTTTTTAAAGTATCGAGAAGATTAATTAATTGCCCTTTATTACTAAGGCTGGTCTTATTCAATGTTCTCACTCGAATCCTAAGGAATTATCCTCTCTTTTATATTAAATTACACCGCATTCTTTATGACAAATTAAAACTCTTAAATAGATTAACATTGCATGTGAATAAATTCAATAATAACGTTATTTTAAATTATATGTTCTTGGCAATCTTTAAATATGCTGTTATAAAATTTTTCCACATGTAAATTCTTATGCTCGTGATTAATTACTTTTTATATCTTTATACCAAAGGAGTGCAATTTTCGTAAATAAATGGAAATGAAATGGAATGAAATTATTTGTGGAATCATTTATTTAATAGCGGAATTGATATGCCAATACACAATAGCCAGTATTTGTAACAATGCATTGTTACTTTCGAGTATTTCGAAACGTTTTCAAGGTACATTCTTTACAAAAAAGTATTATTGTCAGTAATACAGTATTGTATCTCAGTAATTTTATTACTACCGGATAATAATTGTGAATACTTAAATTATAAAGATATTAATAATATAAAATAATTTAGTGATAATGATGACATATTGATAATCACTGATCTTTAGTAATCTTTAGTAATCTCTACTGAGCTCTAATAATAAATTACTGATGCGATGTCTTTCTCAGGAATTAATTACTTATTTGAAGTACTGCACATAATAATTAAAACCTTTATTAGCAATTGAGCCTCTAAATACTTCAGTACTATTTTACATGAGTCATTGATACTTATAAGGGGAGAGTTTGATATTGTCATCACGGATTTCGCTCAAATTGGAATATGTTGTAGCATCAAACCCGCATTACTTGATAGGCAAGTAAGACGGCACATTTCTTAAGCATCCACAAAAAATTTGCTTGCAAAGTTTCTCGCGCTGTAAGTATCGCTTACGAAAACACGTTTGCCAGATAGCGAGCGAAAGGCGCAGCAGGTAAGGCGGCAACACGCTTCACATTGTGTGTTGGAACCTAGCTCTACTCAACTTTTTCTTCTTTATAACATTAATTTTTACGAAATATAATTTTCAATTAACGATTAGGCAACGCATCAATAACCTAAATATGCTAAAAAATTATGGTTGAACGATTAATATATGTAATATTTTTTACTTGCATATTTCAACGTTTATAATCATGTCAACAATATTGATTAACGATTATAATAAAAAATGCTAATTTACTTGTCAAGTATTGAGAGCTTGATACTACAATATATTCCAATTTGAGCAAAATTCGTGATGACATCAGACTCTGCCTTTGTTATAAGTGGTATAAATGAATACTGGAATTTATTACTCCATTTATAAAAGACAGAGAGGATAAATTTAGAAAAAGAAGACACATTTGTATTAATCTTTATTTGTTTTTATTTGTTTTTATCTATTGGCAGCGATTAATACTGGAATTTTGTGACTACAATATTTTTTTTATATTATATATCATTTTTTGTGTATTCTCAGGATATATTATAAACTTTTTCGCAGTGTTTCCATTCATTTGTCGAACATTATAAATGCATTCTAGAAATAATATCTACATATTTAATAAAAATAATTTAAAATTTTTGATGAGGAGAAATATATATATAACTAATCAGTGCGAAAACCAATTTTTTAAATTTATTTTAATGAGGAGCCATATTACTCTTAGGGTGACTTGCACCAACCAACTCCGATTAACTTAATCGACTGATTAACTCAACGGAATTGATCGATCGCATTTGTCAATTAGCTAAACTAATCAGTGCGATTCAATCAATCCCGTTGAGTTAATCAGTTGGTTAGGTTAATTGGAATTAGTATAAGTCATCCTTATTCTTCCCGTTATGCAGCGTTGTCACATTTTTTATAAATAATGTCCCAAGTAATAAATATTTCATTTGAGTCTAGAATTGATTGAACAATTTGACGAATGTGATTATTAAATTTTCAATTAAAAATATTGATTATTAATAAAGTTATTGTACAAAATATAAATGGGGGATTATAATATCACTTTCTCCTCTATATATTAAACTGTTAAATGAATATAATTCCACTCTAAATCATTTATTGTCCTCTGTTGTACAAATTAGTTATCGTCATACTTTATATATTTTATATTGTGTACTGATATAACTAAGAGAATCTAAAAAAATGACGCAATTTTATCTAATTAACTGCGAAGATTCATTATAATTTAAACGATAAATAAGTGCATACAAAATGAAATTTTGCATCAGAAGCATCAAAATTTGTCGGAAATACTTACAAACTTCTTTTATAAATCTAATTAAATGACAAGTTATTAATCTGACATTTAAATGATCGCATTGAACAATTTTGTATCTAACGTGATACGTTTAATCTTTTAGAATCAACCAATGGAAGGCGAGGATCCGAGTGACTATAGTTTCAGGCACATCACCGAAATCACGATCCTGACCGTTCAACTGATCGTTGAGTTTTCAAAGAGGCTACCCGGCTTCAACGAGTTGATGCGCGAGGATCAGATCACTTTGTTGAAGGCATGCTCCAGCGAAGTTATGATGCTGCGGATGGCAAGAAAATACGACGTGCAAACCGACAGCATTATTTTCGCTAACAACCAACCATATACACGCGACAGCTATAACGTTGCCGGGATGGGTGAGACCATCGAAGATCTTTTACGATTCTGCCGGCAAATGTACGCCATGAGGGTTAACAATGCTGAGTACGCTTTGCTCACCGCTATCGTCATTTTTTCAGGTCCGTACATATTAGCAAGTAACAGAACGTGAGATTCTTTCTCGTTTGTTTCATATTTTGGCTTAAACATATCAATTAATTTTGATTGAACTTCTGAAAACTATCTACGTGCTATCGTCATAAGCCATAATCTTGACTGACATACTCCAGATGACCTTAAGTGAATGTCCTAAAATGGATTTTCACCAGAAGAAAGGTTTAATATAAAAAATGTTTAAACAATGTTGTATATTGCTATTAGCATTACACTACTTTCTCAGGCGAGAATATACCCAGCGAATGCAAAGTAACGGTTATATAAATGTTTAGTTGTAATCTCCTGCTCAATAATACAACTGTTATTTAATGCGTGTGTTATATAACAGTTATATTATTGGGTAGGGAATTGCAACTAACTATAATTGTTATTTTGTATTTGCCGGATACTGTAATCGTGTATTTTGTCCACTTAAGGATGCAAATAGAAAGTTTACAATTGTAGATCACCGATATAACCTATTCAGTACATATACAAGATATAAATCTTATTTATTGATGCAGTACAGAGCAGAATCGTTGCAAGTAAATCTTTCGTCGTACAAATGTTACAATTGTTACTATCAAAATGTGTGTGAAAAGATGACGTTGTTTTCACTGTGTACCAAGTTCAAAAGATAGAGCAACAATTATATAGCAGTGATTGAAAGAACTTCAACTAAAATTGAGTTTGCGATTTTGTCAAATTCGTAGACGCCCGATGGATTTGGATGAAGTCAATGGTATATGTAGGTTGCTCCGAAAATCTCTCCGCAAGATTTGCACATTAAGCATGTCGCATCAAACCCGACAGACGCTCTTAATTTTACATCTTTAACGACACTTTGCCTTTTTGATGCATCAAAAAATATATTTATTCGTTCGACCGTGAAACGTGTCTAAAGTTGACGCTTTCGAAGAGAAAAATGAATTGATCATCGACAAAGTTTCCGCGCGATGATTTTTTCACGATTTTAAGAAGCCGCTGACTCCGCTGACAGTGCGTCGAAAGTCTTCGTTCGGTTTTGGCGATGAAGCACGAGCTTATTACATTTTAGTGCTTGTGATTTTAGTGAACACAAATGACACCGGATTTCCCATCAAGTTTTGAGCAAATTTGATGCCAATTTGGCGACAATTTGCTATCAAATTGCTTATTGAGTACTTAAGTTTATTACAAAATATGTATATTCATGGAATACGGTCGATATTATATGTAAAGTATATGCATGCTGAATTTATACATCACTGCATGTATATACCATACATCGTAATGTATATCTAGTTCATGCATATGAAATGTGTATATTTATATATATATGCGATATATATACAGGATATTATTTGCACATTATAGCGCATATATATACAGGAAATATCTAATAGTATATGGATTACCTTGGTGAAAATAATTTTCTGAATTTTTTTGAAAAGGTTTATAAATTGGAATACTTTGAGATAAATATAGATAAAATCAGGAAAAATATTTCTTTGATTAAATTTGAAAAAAATTGCATTTTTCTAAAAATCTATTTCCTGATATTTTCCGAAATTATTTATTTTCTTTAAGTATTTCTTGCAAATACTGAGATTTTCTAAGAAAAATGTATGATTAGAACTTATCATTATAAATATACAGAAGTTAAGAATTAGTTGAAATTATTTTATTTTACTTTCTCAGAATTATTCAAAAATATTCTGAATTACTCAAAATTACTCTGAATGACAATGAATTTACTCCGAAATTTACTCAGAATTTATTCATGAATTACTCAGAGTTTTACTGATATTTTCTGGACATATTAATATTTTTGGTATAATTACCAATATTTGTAGCTATAAGCTCTAATGAAGAAATTAAAATAACTATTTTTATGAAAGAAATAATATTAGCACCAACTTCTTTCAATTCAACAAATGATGTTACGATAATATACATACGAAAATACTACATTCATAATTGTCCTTTGCGAACTATTAATCCTCAGTCTTTAGTAGGACAATAATGTATGTTAATAAATATCGATAATGCACACGGTGATTAAATGTCATATTATAGATATAGTGTATACTTAACGATACAATATAGATATATAAACAAATATAAGCAATGTATAAAATCAGAAAGTAACTATATGAAAATATAGATTTGCAAATGCGCGCAGGCTATCTTCACGTTGCTCGATCAATTACAATTGCTGTCGATAATTAATATCACACAAACGATAATTAATATCGGAAAAACGTTTAGTGGAATTTACCAAACAGTGAACGAGTCAAACGCGTTTTGGTTTAAAAAACAGGATTTCTGGTTATTAGGACCGATTTTAATCATAAGAATCAGAAATTCTGTTTCCTTCAATTAAAATCGCATTTGGTTCGTTCACTGTCTTGTAAATTCAACCAAACTTTTTTTTCGCGTACATGGTAAAAAATCGAAATACTTTTATCCATTCTATACACTTTATGTTGTATTAACTATTTCACATTTCATACTTTATACTACACAATATATATTCTTTGTTATAATTATTTTTATAGAATATCACACCTTTTTAATTCAATGATAATCATTACTTTACAGAGAGACCCAATCTGGTGGAAAGTAAAAAAGTAGAGAAACTCCAGGAGATCTATTTGAAAACGTTGAAAGCATATGTGGATAATCGTCGTAGGCCGAAATCCGGCACGATCTTTGCGAAGCTTCTTTCGGTTCTAACGGAACTTAGAACCCTCGGCAATCAAAATAGTGAGATGTGCTTGAACCTGAAATTTAAGAATAAGAAGCTGCCAGTTTTCCTCGCCGAAATCTGGGACGTGGTGCCCTAGTTTCCCAGTCGCCGATCATCGGCAATTGCGCCGGTCGGCTGAAGAAGCTCTTCGACGTCGCGATAGCAGCAGCAGCAACGGCGTCGATAGACGCATGGACGTGGAAAACGGCCTGCGCAACTCTTGTACTAGTGCACCACTATGCCACTGCCTCACCGTCAACATACTGTATCAGACTCCGTTTTAGATTCATTATAGTCATTTGTGTCTCGACGATCCACCACTTCTAGCGGTTGACACCCTAGATGGATCTTTATACAGTTTGTAAAGACATATACAAGCCGGCCCCACACTGTTCGCATATGGCACAGCGCGAGAGAGATGATTTTTATTATACAAAAACACGGAGACAAAATTGTATTAGAAAAAAAGATCGAAGATTCATTAAAAGGATTTAGCGGCGGATCAAATGAGGTCCGTTCGATTACGACATGTTAACAAGGATATACGCGATCGAATATCTGTGATGAAGAATCGCGGTACCAAAGATCTATATAGTGTCATGGACGTACGAAATGAAAGTCCAAAAGATGGAGGCTTTGTGTTACCAAAGATCCATGACACATAACACACACATGTTATCAAATTTGTATGATCCGTGGAATTATCGACTTCGACAAATCTATAAAGCCACCTGTTTGTAAAACGTTGTGTCTCCACGCATTAATATTCATCTATCGAAAATTATTTAATTGCGACAGTTATTTGATCTCAGTGATGTCACATGGTGAAATTTCTCACACACTCGTACCAGTGAGAGGATTACGGACCTATAGTAGCATACGCGCTTTAGCGAGATATATATATATGTGTGTGCGTGCGTGTGCGTACGTGCGTGCGTGCGTGCGTGTGCGCGCGCGCGCGCGCGCGTGTGTGTGTGTGTGAGGTATCAAGGGAAAAAAATAGAAGATATTGAAAAAAATAATATAAACGTCTGTGCCGAATGAAATAAGAGTATATGAACAAAAGTAACGGAATACGTGTGCTTGAAAAATCCCATCATTTGACATCGGTGATTTATCTTGGTCCACGAATAATTACCGATACGCCCCTTTCATTTATAAAGTTGCGAATATTCGATCGCTCGCGTGAACAGTCTCATGCGAACCGTGTGAGACCGGCTCAAGAACAAGAACGAAAAGAGGGAAGAGAAACTCTGCATGATTTGGAAAAGACGCGACAATACGCGCGTAATTCAAATGAGGGTAGAGGAAAAATGGTAAATATGAATAAACAATTATATATTGTTGTAAGAGAAAGGCAGTGGCGCGGCCCAGGCTGTGATACATAGAGAACAGTACAGAGAACGAAAAGCTATATAAAGAAAGCTATCTGCAATTTACATTTTATCGCTATGTCCCCTACCCGGATACATCCTTACACATACAATCGATATGTAAATGTAATGTATTATATGATAAAATATTGATATATCGGACACGTCACATATGTCATTCGTGAAAAAAAAAACAATGACAAGTTTGCGGTTTGGTTTAGTGGTTTTGGGGGGAGGGAAAAGATGGAAGGGCAATTTGTGACACGGTGGAAAGAATTAAATTGCGATAACGACGAAATTTTCTAAATAATTGGCAATATACATATATATATACACACACACACACGCGCACATATATATATATATATATATATATATATATATATACTCATACATATACTCGGAGTTGATGCTCGCGGCACTCACGGTCGGGTTAAACGAGTCGCGCGTTAACCCGCTTGCANTATATATATATATATATATATATATATATATATATATATATATATACCGTTAACAATAAGTTTGGAAATTAAATTCCTTAATCATAGATAATACAAAGCATTTTTCCGGATTTCGATCGTAAGAGCGAAAGCAAATCAAGTCCGCAAGATGAACGCTGTTGAGCAGCGTCGCATAAGTCGAACGTGAATTAAGAAAACAAAAAAGAAACAATATGCATAACAATACAATAGAGTCTATATCATACATACACATACAGCATAATATATCTTGCTAGAATGTACATTGTTTATATTAAGAAAGGAAGGAGAGCGTGAAAGACCGGGCGTGTATGTGCGCGCGTGTATGAGAGGGAGAAAGAGGGAATGAAATAAAAAGAGTGAAGGGAGAGAAAGGAGAAATATATAATAGAAAACTAAAAATCGGAATACGCAAGAATTAGCAGATTGGATATTGGATAGAATCTACACCGCAGCAGGATAGCGTTTGGAACTGTGTATTAGTATTCTTTCTTATTAATACAAACCATATGTGGAGATGTACAGGGCGTCCTCAAAAGAAGGGAGAGAGAGAAAGAGCTGGACCGAAATAATAGAATTCTCTCTTTTCGCAAAAATATATATATTTTTAAGGGATACATAAAGTATGCTACAGTTAGAACATGTTGCTTAAACAATACATAACATGTTATAAAACTGAATTTTTTTTAATGCATAATTTTTATTACAATTTTACTTACTGCTCTCTTACTATTATTTTACCATATTCTGATAAAAATACTATATTTACATAAATATATAAATAATACTGGAAATATGCGCGCACGCATACACATGCACGCACGCGCAAACATGTTCATATATTCATATACAAAGGTTATATATTGAAAGTGTGATTGTTCCAGTTTATTGAAAAATTTAGGGATTTGCAGAGGGAAAAAAAAAATATATATTTTTTTTTATATTTATAATAAAGCAATATCACAAATATTTTTTTTTGTTCAAAATCTTGGTCAGTTGATATTTTTGTTAATGTTCTGATAGTTTTAAATTATTTCTTCTTACAATAGAGGTTTATTTTAGTTATACGTAGCGATATATATATTCGATAGAACTTCATCCCATTTATTGTCAGATTTATCTTTATTACAACTTGTTAAATTTTTTGTAGCATGTATTAAAAATCAGATATTTTCAAACTGATGAAATATTACAGAAAACTGTGCATCGTTGTCTACATGTGGCCGCAATAAATTTTTATCACGTTTGTCTATAAACTGTCAAAACGTTAGCAACATTATATCAATTGAGCCAGAGATATAAAAATCTAAATACAGAAATATTTTCTGACACGTTTAATTTTTCTACCAATCCTGAAATTTTTACAACAAATTGGCGAACATGACTTTCGACAGTACCTTTGTAATATACTGATACTTTTCTTTTTTAACATATATCCAATTTATTTAGAAATTTTAACGACTGATTTGTTTTTAATAAATAAAAATAAAAATGTACAGGACGTCCTGCAAAAGTATGCGAGAAAATATAACGATATTTATGAACAATACTGATGTCTTTTTTTGGGGCACCCAGTATAGGACACTCTGATTAAATTGACTTTAAACAGAAATATGGGAGAATACATATTTTTTTTATTAAGAAAAATATATATTTTAAGTATATAGAATAAGTCAACTTTAAATATGTTTATTGGTTCGAAAATTGTACAGCTAATAACATCATATTAACATCAATAATCATAATGGCTATATCATTATTCTGCATGAAGCTGTTCTGCATGAAGCTACTACATCGCCAAATCAATAGGAAAGAAATTAATTGTCTAAAAATACGGAAATATGAAAATATCAATCTTCAAGAATACTATTGTTATTGGTCTTGCAATTTTCGATCGAATAAGACGTAATTTAAAGTCGATTTCCTCTATTCGTTAAATGATGGAAGATTAAATTTTATAAGAAGATAATTAAGAATGATGAACGGTACACGATACACTTGAGATCAATCGATCACCATTCTTTCCATATTCACAGAAGTACCAAAAATAATTTAGATAAAGAAAGCGAAAGAAAACCGAAAGAACGAAAGATAGAGGAGAAGAGAGGGGAAGACCTGGTGATCGATTGTTTAAAACAGCATTACAGCACAGAACTGAAGTGAAAAAAACTTGTTAAATTAAACTATTTCTCGGGTGGTTGCACTTTTCAAGTAACAATCGGTTGCGCTACTATTATCACTGTTAACATTTTCCATCTATGAGAAACTCTAACGAGATGTTAACAAATAAATTTATTTAATTATAATTTCCTTAATTATAAATTTTTGTATATATCATTGGTCACGCAAAAATATATTTGCTCTTTGATCCGCATCAGACTAAATATAAACTAGTTATTCCGTATATTTCGTGCTTCCGCTCGAGATTTAAATAAATTTTCATAAGAACATGAGGCTAGTTTGGTAATAGGTTGTAGATGAGTGAGCTAGACTAGGTGACCGAGTTCTAGTGCAAAGCCTTGTGCCTTCAGCAGCGGACATCGGCTCACCGACATAACAGAAACAAAAAATAAAAAAAATATGTGAAATTTAACCGTCCGTCTTAATCTTTTAATGAAAGAGGAAACAAACTCGCTACAAAAACTGTGAAAAAATTGTACGAGTTTACCATGTTATTATTAAAGCGATGAAGATAGAGGTAGAGATAGTGAGAGAATGAATGAGTAAACGAATGAGTTAGTGAGTGAGAGAGATGAAGAGAGAGGAGAGAAAAAAAGAAATAAGGAAGGAGGCAAAGGGAAAGGAAGAGAAAGAGAGAGAAGGGGAGAAAGAGAGAGAGAGAGAGAGAGAGAGAGAGAGAGAGAGAGTGAGAGAGAGAGAGGGGTTGAGGGGGGGGGGAGGTGAAAGAAAGAAGGAAGGGCAGTAATACAGTCTGTTTAATGAGAACGTGACCGATATAACTTTTAAACTATTTATTATAACAAAATGAAAAAAGTTACATATGTACTACACAATTAATACTGCAACGCTTTTGTATTAACAAGTCAGTCAGTACCGCCATTATCAATTATTGCTTGACATTTTCCAGGCATACTTTTCACTAATTTTACAACATACTCTCGAGATAAAAATCGCCATATTGAACGAATCAGATCATCATGTACACTTTTTTTTTCATAAAATGTTATCTTTATTAATGTTGAGACATTTTTAATAGAACTTGTATCTGATGATTATGATGACCAGTCTAATAATTCGATGTTATTTTCTTCCTTGCATTGGGAGCAAAGACTCTAATGTTTCGGGTCGTTGTCCCTCATAGAAGATCCAATTCTGACCTTTACTTTGAAACCACTTTTTTTGGCAGATGGTATTAATCTCTGGTAATTTTGGACTATCCTCTTAGGATTTAAATTCTCCATAAGATAGATCGAAGCGAATTGGATCATAGAAAGAATCGGATTAATTTAAGCTTTGGACAGTCGTTAATTGTTTGTTTCAAACGAGCTGTTTTATCGTGCCGGCTGCCTCTATGTGTTTCCTCCGCATTCACTTGAAACAAAAACTAATAACTGTTTCAAAGCTTATGAACCTATTCACCATGTGATCCGATTTACCTCGGTCTACTCTATATTCTAATACTCATCATTAAATACGTCGTTCTTTAGCGAAGATCGAACAATGACTGGGACCCTGTATATAATGCGTCGTAAAGGAAAGGTCTTTCTACCTACTGATTCAAAAATATTCGATGTAACGGTTTTCAAACAGAAGTTTGCCCGGTCACGCTCTTATTAGACCGACTGTAAATACGTAAGATGTCGAAAAATTATGAGCATAAGTTAATTAGTAAGGATGGCTATAGGATTGTAGGACATTAAAAAAAATGAATTATGAAACTGGAGATGCTACAAATATGTGGAATTAAATAAGAAGTTATCAATAGGTTCTTATAATTTCCGAAAAAAAAAAACATAACGGGCGGCTACGCTAACAAGAGATAACATATAGTCTTTAAATATTAAAACTAAGAGATACATAGACGATAACAAAGAATTCTTGGATTCCTAGATCTTTGGATTTTTTAGGCTCCACATCTGTAACACTTTAGATTTTTTATATAAATTCTTAGATTCCTGGATTACAAGATTTTTAAATACTTAATCCTTTGAATAGTAAAATTGTTAAATTCGTAAATTTGCAATTCGTAAGTTAATTCATCGTACCTTAGTTTTTGTCCTTTAAATTCTTACATTTTAAAATCTTTCATCAGCCCGAAATTTCATAATATTGTAATATTGTGGCTATGTTCTCTAACAACTAATTATAATAGAATTCTAATTATCCAGACAATATTTTTCTATAATAATTTAAATTTCAGGAGACAAAGGAAAAGGAAATATGAATATGAATTTTAAATTACATGTCGAGATAATTAATAATCAGGAAGTCAATTTCTATATGCAGAATTTAAATAGAACCTATTTACATAGCGCTATTACTTGTGAATATTTGAAAATAATCATATTTTCAAATATTCATTTGATGAATATTCATCATGATTATTCGAATATGAATCGAAAAGTCCAGATCCATTTTTCTACAAGAATTAATGAATAATGAAATAATTCTAATTAGTAGCGATTAGTTTGTTTTAATCGACGTAGAAATCATTTACATTATAATACATCTAAAACTGCATGAAAGCATTC